CGTTTTACACATTTACTATGTTAGCGTTGAAACATCACGCCTCTATCGTATTTACCAACATCGTACTTACATACACCTACAGTTTACCATAATTCTCGTGCCTTATTAGAGTTAGGTTACTTATATTATCTGGAGCACGCGGCGAATATTGTGCATGTTAGTTTAAACCCCAGCTTTGCATGCGATTTCCTTTGTGGTCCAACAAGAACTTGAAGCAACACATACTATCGTTTGTGTCATGATTAGATAGTGCTATTTACTGTCCACGATTCGTTTTTTCTCCGTGGACATTCACGTCTTTAATAACTTACAAATAACTTTACGGCTTCTACCAATTGCTTTTGCTACCTCGGTACTAGTTAAATTTTGCTTTTATAAAGCAAGAATTGTTTTAATTTCACTGTCATGCAGCCTCTTACCATGACCTATTTTGTGAATTTATTGTACACGTTAACTGACTAAAAGCTCAAGAAATGCTGAAGAAATTTTAAACACGGGTCTTGTGTGCTATCATTTTATCTCTGTACATTTCTATATTTATATTTCTTCTGATAGCATTTATAGAAGTTATCGATCTAACATAACTTACGCTTACATATTCGTATAAGGTGTGTAGGTACATACTATTAACAACTTTGGGGCTATCATAATAACATGAGAAATTAAAGATAGAACGCGTGTATTATCTTTTTGTCTGGAAGTGTATGTAAACGCATTCTTAATAAACAGTTTTAAAAAGATATGGACTGCGTAGCACTGATCTTTGGACAGTTTTCCATATAATCGTATCGGTTGTTGTACTATAGTAGAATAATTTAGATCATGTTATAAAATATATTGTAGCACTTATTATTAAATGAAATACAATATCTGTCATATATGAAGTCTGCAATATAATATTTCTTATTACGTAGTTTCATTTATGGCGTAAATAATGTTCTTCGTAGCTGTACAAGAATATCAAAACAATATGTTCTTTATCACATGATAAGTTTTTTATTAGCACGTGACATGTTGAACGTCTTTAGCACCTCATTATACAGCCTTCACAACCAGGCGACTGTTAAACAGGCCCCATATCCGTCTCAGCGGTGTTATTTATAAAATAAAAGAGTTTTATAAAATACAATTTTTTAAATAAAATTTTTCTATTATTTTTACGAATGAATAAAATAAAATAGTTTCACAAAAGTAAGAAAAAATTATATCTTAATGTCGTGTATTTTGTAAATGATTACTTAAACCCAATCAGAATTTCAAAAATAAAATCCTTAGATTTCCTACATGTAGCTTTTACCTATCCAAGACCTCGAGAATCTGACCGTCAACGATTGCTAAAAGCGAATTCGGAATACATAAAAAAACTCCTGCAATCAATCGGTCCTCGGTTCGCTACGTGGGTAAAATTTCCCTATCATAAAATTCAGATCCTTAAAAAAATAGTGCTCATATCGGATGGGCCAAATGAAGTGTTACAAACTGTTTTCTCTGAAATCACTGCAGATATCGACTTCATGTTTTTTCAATGAAATCGTACAAGGGATCTATGGTGTGGAAATACGGTCAAGGAGTACTCCCGGACATAGTACAATAATAATCAGTTGTACCACGTACACCCCCCGCCCCCCACCTTATCATGCTTTTTCGTTTTTTTAAATCATATTTAGGGTAGAGAAAACAGTCACGGCGGAAAGTCACGCATAGATAGTACGAGGAACAAGTGAATATCACTATCTCCAGGAATACCCAGAGTTGCTATTTTCTCAATGGACCCCGATACTATTCATTGAAGAATGCCAATGTGTGGAAAGAGAAATGATGTAGAAGTAACTGCAACATAATTCGTATTATAACATTATACTATATTACATGTAGTATTTATATCAGAATCAAGATAAATAGCAGCTGCCGGCAATAAACACATTCGTTACCACCACGTTATTCCGAAAGCATTTGTCACAAACCACGTTAGATTTTTAGCATCCCAATCAGTGGACTGTTCTTATCTTCTTGCATTGAAATTAAAAATAAAGAAAACAGACTGACAAAATATGGGTGAATATTGCAAAGCACTAGTTACTTTTATACAATAAGTATGCTGACTTGAAAATCGGAGTACAACACATTTGTGACGCTAATAACTATTCCTTTTATTTCGTCCTTTCGTACATCCCTCCTTTTCCTGTTCTGTTACAACAACATCGTATTCATGTAATAATGTCGAAATATTATTTGATACCGATATTCGTCATTGAAACATGAAATTCATTTGACGACCTGAATATGTATATGGTGAACCTGACATGTTTAAATAAATTAAACATATAAAATAAAATACATAGAACAATTACGGTACACTAAAAAATTCATCAATAATTTGATTGTTGGTGAACAGTTATAAACTGAAACAAAACCAGATGTTTATGTAACTGATATATGTAATTTATCATCTGTTTATGTAACTAAAATATGAACTGAAACTTGAGCTGAGGACAATACACGAATAGAAGGATGAATAAGTAACTTTTAGTCACAATTCCAAGTTCAAGGACAAAGATTATTATGACATTGCCACGGTCAATGGGACATTTAGCTATAATATTGTCTGTAAATTACTCTTTTTAATGACACTCTACTGGCAAGTAGTGATGTAGCAGTAAATAGAACTTTGACGAAAGGAGGGAGATATAAAGATTCCTCCAAGTACAGATATGTATAGAGTCGCGACTAATGATACTAGTAGTTTCTCGTGCAGTCAGAAAAGTGACACGCAGAAACTTGCATGGAAATGTAATTTCTGTATCTTCGGTGTGATCGATTTGTGTGGAATACTTTTGTTGTCTTAACATCAGGAGAGTGTTACAAACTGTAAATAAGTATCCATATTACTATTTCTTCTAAATTAAGAATGAGTTTACTAGCCAGATATCTCAAACCGCTTAGTTTGTCGTTTGTCTTTGTGGTTGAAATATTACTACTAAATAGAAATTAAAAGAGAGAGGTAGAGGTTGGTCGAATTTGGCCTTTGCTGCCCACGAACAATTTTAACAGATTATGTTTGTATACCTATTAAAGAGTATGAAGTATATAATTATTTTAGTACATTATAAATTTTGAAATATTGCCGTCCCTAATACTCAGCCAGTTAACGTATTTCGACATTTTCTTCTTTGGATGATGATCCATTATCAAAATGGTCATTTAGAAATTCAGCAGGTAAGTTCGCTGTGGAATGGTATCGATCATATCCAAAAAATCATAAAATTATTGTTACCTAAGGGCTACAACCCATAATCCGTTCACCAACTTCACATCCACACATACATATGTCCAATATAGTTTCTAATCCACTTTTTTTTCTCAAATAGCACATACACAAAGTATTTAACAGTGTTGAGTACAAACAAAAATATTTTGTGAGGTAGAAAATAGTTTTTGTTTAATGTTGAGTGTCGCGGATGCAAAAAGTGCCTTGAGAAACAGTTTCCCCAATAACATTGTCGTGCCTAGAAGCACCAGCATTTCTTGCAGATTTCATTTCAATCCAAGAAGGGAATTTGCAATACCACCTGCCATTACTATTACAATAAATCTTTCGAGATATTTTCTTGAAATGCTTTTTAAAGATGAATCTTTTGCGATTTCAATCTCAGACTGCATCTTTACTAAACTGTTAGCACTATACAACGAAAATTCAATTGCAACAAAAGTTTCACTGCTAGCTGAAGAAATAGCAGTCCTATAAAAAAACTCTAATGTAAGCCATGTGAGGATCTTAAGTCAAGTCTTTAAGCTAATATATTTGATCATTATGCTATATTTCACAATGGCATTCATGGATATTTTCAAATTCGTCGTAGAGACGATATTAATTTCCTGCGAAATGTTTAAACATTGCTTCCTACTGCGAACATAATGTTGGCGAATGGGTTGACAATTCTTGCTCCTACGTAACAATAATTTCATAACTTTTCGAATATGACTAACAGCAAGCTACGAAGAAACTGGCTTCTACTACTTGACATAATTATTTTACTAATAAATCATTATTTGAAGAAGAAAATGTCGAAATTAATTGGGTGAATATATATATTTTTTATAACTTTCCTACTGCCTCAATGTTCTGATATTTCAGCAACTTGGTGAGACAAAATTCCTGCTCCAAAGAAATACTAGTTTTCGATGGTTTTATAGCTGTTTCGTTAATAAAATCCACAATTAAGTACATATTTTACATTTAGTTGATAGTGTTCAAATACAGGAACATATACAGGGTGTCATGTAAGTCGCGGTACAACTGGGTAGGGGGTCACTCTACAGGAAACAATAAGTCGAAAATATGAAAGAAAATATTTTCATTTTAGACGTCGTTTTCAAGACAGTCTTCAACAATCTGCTGGATACGCGTGCAATTGAAAAAGACTCGCCTAGAGCGTCCGATCATTGAATTCCGTTACTACTTACTACCATGAATACACGCATTTCAGATTAATTTGCAAAGTCCATTTTCACGAAATGAAGTCTCAAATGAACAAAATTTATTCTATAAGTTCGACTTATTTTTTCACTTAAAATCACCCCTTACCTGGTTGTACTACCAGTTACATGACACCATGTGCAAATGCGCAGTTCAACGAATAAGCCTATAAAGGAACGGACCCAAATAAATATCACCAATTTTGATAGAATTTTATTACAAAGTAATTTTCATAAAAATAATTGACACGTATTTTTTTATCTGGCAACATTGTGTGTTTTCGCAAGGGATCCAACTAAATGATTATATTCTAGAAAAATCCACTTGTTTAAATAGTAACATAATGGATAGACCGGCGCTGCTCGGGCGTTCGTAGTCCGAGGGTTAATGTAAAAAAAAAACTTAGTGGCATTTTATTAGGTCTACCCTATATATTGGATTTACAGATAATATACATATACAAAAATGTGTATTCCTTGTGCCATATAGTAAAAAATGTGAAACGAGTAATCTTATTTTTCAGGTCCATTCAAAATGGCGCTTATAACACCGTATTGGGGTCTAGATGGCATCCTACTATTCGCATCCCTTATGGTGGCCGCATATATGTACGCAACACGGAAATTTAAATACTGGGCGAAAAGAGACATCATGGAAATTCCTCCGACACCGTTCATAGGAAATTTCACGCAATGCTTTTTTTTGAAGAAGTCACCAGCGGAATTTGTGAAGGAACTGTACGATGCATCCAAAGGATTACGTTACATGGGATTTTATATTTTCGACAAGCCATTCTTCCTAGTACGGGACCCCGAACTTGTCAAGCACGTCCTGGTTAAGGATTTCAACAACTTTAACGATAGATATGGTTCGCCGGATGTGTCCGACCGGCTTGGATACGCAAACCTTTTCATGATGAAGAATCCTGGCTGGAAGTTACTTAGAACGAAGCTGACGCCAATCTTCACCAGTGGAAAACTGAAGAAAATGTTCCAGCTAATGGCTTTAGTCGCCAACGATCTGGACGACTATCTGGATTCGCAGAAGTTGGGTTCGTATTTGTGTTAGTATTCACGTGATTAATACAATATATTAACTTGAGAGTTCCAAGACCTGTTCTTTTTAATAGAACTACTTTCCATAAATGCCTACTTCTAACAGCGGAACCTAACATTCATAGAATAGATATGCAGTATAGAACCAGGCAAAAATATAAATAAATCACATTATTAGCTGTTGCCATATCATCAGAAAAATGAAAACTCAATTTCCCATCACTACATAAGCCTAATGAAAATTAAATAAATTCAATCAATCCATAAGTCTAAATGAACATTCACGTATGCAGCGTGATTTTTATTTTATACCAAAGTCAATAATCTTAATATTAATATTGGTCAGTTTAATAACAAGCGTCGTGCTATGAACATGGTGTCCTATCTAAATGGACCCACTTGAATATCTCCGAAACTATTGACTAGGTTAAAAAATGTTTCAGACAATAATTAAATGGTATCAAAGAGCACACTTTTTAATGTAACTTTTTTCTATGTGGACGCATAGAGGTCAGATGAAGGTAAACTTCGTTTTTTTAAACGAAGTCATATATTTTTTAATGCACTACTAAATGCTACTCGTTATTCCCTACATAAAATACTGAGTCACTTATGATGAATAAGTGCATTAAAAAATATACGATTCAATTTAAAAGAAAACAAAGTTGACCATCATATGATCTTTACGCGTCTCCATAGAAAAAAATTGCTCACATTAAAATGTGTGCTCCCTAATACCATTTAGCTTTTGTCGGAAACAGTCTTTAATATCGTCAATAGTTTTGAAGATATTCAAGTGAGTCGATTTAAATGGGACACCCCGTATATAGCCTTTGCATTCACTGATTCTGAGTCAGTACTGTATATTTTGTAACTACGGTTACCGTAGACTAAACAATATCGTGCAACCAAGATGTGTTATTATTATTATATAAGAGATAAGAGGAAGTTTGAATATTACTTGGTATAACGGTGGAAGTTGTCAGAAGTTCAGCATTTCTATGCAGAAGTATTACATTACTGTGATAGAAAATAACATAACTAATAATTAATTGTATCAGATGAATAATTAGTTTACATTCATGGATCACTATGGGATCCATTGAAAATTAACTCAATTCTACTGACAAGGAGTGTATTTTAGGTGTCCGCCTCCGATTGCTTTGGTTTTCGGATATGTTTTAGAGGACCGAAAAATAGGACATACGTATTTTTTTATAGCGGCCCGTTTTCATATTTAGGGGGTGAAACCACCCCTCAAAATTTCGACCCGGAAGTACTATCTCGAAAACCAGAAGAGATACATGAAAATTTTCAATTGGTGGCTTTCATGGTATTTTTATGTACAATAAACTGGTGTTAACAAATTGTCAAAAATACAATTTGTTTATAACAAAAAAATTTGTTATAACTTTATTTTACAACTTATTGAATTTTGCTTAATGACATAAAATGACGAGCACTTAATTCCAAGTCCATTGGTATATTTATTTTTGAAAGTCTGCGAAACATGTTTTTCAGAAAAATAACGTCGCCAGAGTTATTCTTGTGCCGCTGCATACGTTCGTTGAAAGACAACAAATATGAATGACACAAGACATCACGTTTGCAAATAAAAGTTGCTTTTGCAAACAATAAAAATTCATAAAAAATATATCAAATTTTTTGAGAAATCGAAATTGACTTTTATAAATTGACCATTATTTAATTTTTATTAATATATTCTCCGAAAACCGAGGCAATCGGAAGCTTAAAGAGCGGGCGTGCGCATAGGATATAAATAATAAAAAACTGCGAGACTAAGGAGGCAATTTCAAAAATAAATATACCAATGGACTTGGAATGAAGTGCTCGTCATTTTATGTCATTACGCAAATTTCAATAAGTTGTAAAATAAAGTTATAACAAATTTTTTTGTTATAATAACTTTTTTATGTACAATAAACTGGTGTTAACAAATTGTATTTTTGATAATTTGTTAACACCAGTTTATTGTACATAAAAAAACCATAAGAGCCACCAATTGAAAATTTTCATGTATCTCCTCTGGTTTTCGAGATAGTACTTCCGGGTCGAAACTTTGAGGGGTGGTTTCACCCCCTATATATGAAAACGGGTCACTATAAAAAATACGTCTCTTATTTTTCGGTCCTCTAAAACATATCCGAAAACCAAAGCAATCGGAGGCGGACACCTAAAATACACTCCTTGTGAGTGTAATTTATAATACATATATCGTACAAGAGAAGCTATTGAAAAAGTATTATAATGAGATACTCTGATTATATGTAAGACTTCTCTTTCTTAATGTGAGCTAATTACCTAAAAAACATCACTTAATAGTAGATAGTTATTGTGGAATCACATTTACATAATTATTAGTACAACATGGACGTATAATTACTTCATAATGAACCATTCCGTTTAATCTGATATACACGCATGCATGTATAATAGGTAGTCTAATGATGATGTGATAATAATTCTTTCAGAAAATGGCAAAGTGATGGAAGTGAAGGATCTTTGCGCGAACTTTACCACAGACATGATTGGTAGCACCGCCTTCGGTCTGCGAGTAAATTCATTGAAGGATAATAATGCACCTTTCCGGCAGTTTGGCAGAAAAATTTTCGAGTACAATGCATTTCGTGGGTTCGAATTTCTCACCATATTCTTCATGCCGCATTTAACCAAATACACAGGCGCGAAATTCTTCGGGAAGGAGACCAGTACATTCCTTCGATCTGTATTCTGGGACGTGATTAATCAACGAATCCAGTCTGGAGAGAAAAGGAACGATCTTATTGATCTTCTAATCGAGTTGAAACGGAACCATGAGAGCGAAGGCGACCTTGACGGATTTCGTAAGTTATAGTTTCAACTATTTACTCATTCTTAGTCTTCGTAAGTTGACTGCGAAAATTTTATTTCTATTCGGTTGATAAATATCAAACTACACATTCCTCGTGTACTCTACGGGTCAAATTGACTCGAAGCGAATTTTATTATTGTAACCAGAGACGTTACATAGGCGCCACATTAAATTAAGCTATTTAACAGAAATGTTTAGTAATCATGGTAAAGAAAAAATTAGATGTATTTTAATTTTATTAGCATCGCTTCATTAACATTCTAATTTCTCCTTTGATCCCTTGTTAGAGATTGAAAAATTGTTACCATTCGTTAGCATTGAATACTCAGTGTAACAATTCTTAATAAATCTATGCCGTCAATTAAGAGAAACTATAAGTTAGATTATACTTGTTTCTTATTGCTCTGTTTAGCGTACCATACCACCAATAAATACATAAACACGTAGTGTTTCAGTTATTATAAAAGAAGCATCATCGCTTTTAGGTATATTGTATAAAGTGTTTACATTATTGCTTCTAGAAATTATTCCTCTATTCATTTTTAAATTACATTTACGTCCGTAACTATGTGTATTCACTAATGCTTTATTGAAACCTTCATTCATTTCTCCGATTTGTCCAATTGAAAATAAATAAAAAACGACCAACGTCAAAGCTTTCACTAAACGTGAATAATGATTTATGCACAGTAATGTACCAGATGCACAGACAAGTAATCCAATAGTTTCTGTTCACGAAAAACCAATCCAGGATAAAACATATAATCATAATCTACAATTTTTCCGATTAATTGCTCCATTGATTGTATTATGCAACGTTTTCACCATGGAAAATTATATCGTATCCTCCTCTGCATCTATTTTTTTTATTAATGATTCCATTTCAAATAATTTGTGTTATAGAATTCAGTGGCGACGATTTAGTGGCACAAGCAGCTGTCTTCTTTAGCGGTGGTTTCGAAACTTCATCCACAACCATGTCTTTTACCCTTTACGAGCTTGCGTTAAACATGGACGTGCAGAGGACTCTGAGGAAAGAGATCCTCCAAGCTCTTGAAGAAACCAGTGGAAAAGTTACATATGACATGGTACGTAGCTTAGCAGTCACGAAGAATTAATTTAATCTGAAAAATTCTACCACTGGATATACGATACAGAATGAGTTTATTTCATATAACATGAAATTATAGATTCGGAATCGTGATGCACCACAAAAGACGGTAGCTCGCACGTCGAGAAAATCGTTGAAGAATTCTACGAATAAGAACAGTAAATAATAAACAGATATGTTGGGTGAATGCTATTCGACTATCTTGAAAAACTAAACTCTGTAGGAAAAAATTTTACTGTACATTATAAAGTTTCTTTTCTCCAACAAATCATCTCTCTTTTGCTGATAGATACTACACTTTCGAAAATAGGTATACCCCGAATTACGACCGCCTCGACTTATGACATTTCGGACTTACGACCGTAAAAAAAAATACTTCTTTTTTGGACTATTAAAATGGATATTTTTAAATTAATTTTAGTAAACAGTGTGACATGTGACTGGCGGTGCAACCGGGTAGGGGATGATTCTACGTGAAAAAATAAACCGAAAATAAGAAATAAAATTGTTTCATTTGAAACTTCGTTTTCGAGAAAATTGACTTTGAATATCTGCTGGCTGCGCCTGCAATTGGATAGGACTACTAGAGCGTCTGTTCATTGCATTCCGTTTCTACTTATTACCATGTCACATATACGTGTTTCAGATTAATTTTCAAAGTCCACTTTCTCGAAACGAATTTCACAGTTGGAAAGTGTGAACGGGCCCTTACAGAAACTATCTATTTCACTGTAAATGCTCTCAAACTGGTAAACCGAATGTGTCTTTTTCGCAGGTTATGACGCTACCATATCTCGACAAGGTGGTCTCAGAAACTCTCCGCAAGTATCCACCATTGGCATTTTTGGACCGCATCGCTATAACCGACTACAAAATCCCGGATTCGAATTTAGTGCTGGAAAAAGGAACTCCGGTATACATTTCTATGATGGGAATGCACTATGATCCGGAATACTTCCCTGATCCGGAGAAATTCGATCCCCTGAGATTTAACGAAGAGAATAAACAGAAACGACCGAATTTCACTTACTTCCCATTCGGGGAGGGACCTCATATTTGCATCGGTTAGTAAATTTTTCTAATTTTGACCTAACTATACAATCATCTTGTACCATGTTGTCTTTAGAATTATCATTCGTACTTCTTTAGAAATGACAGATAGTTTTCTTACTCTTTTGCAGTTCCTTCCTAGCCACACCATTAGTTTGTTTCACTTTGACTTTCGTATCGTCACTGTTGCTCCTTCGAAAACGACTCACAGTTCCCTTACTTATATGCTCGAGGAACAGTAAGGAATATAAAAAAAGGAATTTCTTATAATACATTACGTTCTTTTTATCCAATACATTTTATTCGTAGCGGCAATTATTGTCGAAAAGCCATGAGATTTTTGCACCGAATACTTTTACCATTAGATAAGAAATTTAATATCTTTCAAAGCGGGCAGTATAAGTATACATTTTCCATTGTGTTCATTTTCAAAAATATCACAAAATTACTGTGACATGATACAGGAGCTTTTTGTGTTTAATTGTATACTTATTGAAAAACAGTAAGAAATTAGTGGAGGTATACAAGGTAACCCACGCAACTTGCACACCTCAAATAACTTCTAAAGTATGCATTATGTAAAAAAATGTTCATACCAGAGTTGCATGGTTTGGAGGGATGTATTATGTAGTGCATATATTTTTTTAGAGGTGGAGGTGTGTCATCGATTTCAAAATCAACTTCGTTATTTTAAATAGAATGCTATACTGTTTATACCAACATATCGAGTAGTGTTGAATTCAGGGTAAAAAAGTATTGACCTTTATTATCTTTAAACCTAACAATTAACGAATAATTTCACCTTGTTTCTGGAAAATGTACTGTGCGTAATATCAAGTTGGAGCTTGCAGATAGTAAGTATGTATTAAAAATTGTTTTGTAAATATCTCGTTAACTATCAGGTTTAGGACGTATGAAGTTCGACGCATTTTTACTCAGAATTTGATACTCTATCGATCTATGGTACAAAAAATACGTCACTTCAAGATGACCTTGAAATCTTTGAAATGCCTCCACCCACAAAAAAGCACGTACCTTATAAGATGTGCCCCTTGATACCATTTAAGTTCCACGCCTCAAAATTTTCATAAAGTGCACCGTTAACCGATCAAGTTAGCTGAGACACCCTGTATTCTCTGCGCTATACTTATCTTTCGGGAGCAGATACGTTTCTCTTTTCTTGAACCTTGCAAAACCTCAAAATTCCATGGACACGATCTTATAAATTCTATAAATAATTTATAAACAAGCCAGGAGCAATTCTATTCTCTCACGATGTACTACATTTCAGGCATGCGACTGGGTCTCTTGCAATCGAAGCTTGGACTTGTCCAAATGCTGAGCAAGTACGAGGTGACACCTTGCGAAAAGACATCAATCCCGATGGTTTTAGATCCAAAAGGACTCACCACGACGGCGCTAGGAGGAATACATTTGAATGTCCGGAAAATCAGTACAGAAGCTGGTTAAATCATGTACAAATTTAATGTTTAATGTTATGCCAGTGGATTGATAATTAAAAAATTCTTTTCCCTTGAAATACGTAGTTAAATATGCAGACATATGTAAATATTGTGCATAAATTAAGAGGCGATACCTGACTGAAAGAATAAAGGATTTTTCCGTTTTTATTGAGGATTTGGAATCGTATTCACAATCATCTACAGGGGATTCTCGTGGTGTAATGAAAAGTGGTATCATAGGCGACAGTCCTCAATAAGCTGTGAAATATTTTTCTTTACCGTTCTCATTTATCTTCCCTCAAAAAAATGGAATATCTTATCCCAGTTGTCAAAATCACTCGGTATAAGTACGTACGTATCTGAACTCGTGATAAAATCAGAACAAGAGACATTATCATAATTATGCTGCAGACATCATTAAATATAGTTAATATCAGTGTATCATCCAGCTTGGAAAGTGAGATAACGATCACATTAAACAGTTTCAGCAAAAGAGAAAATTAGTTATGTATGTCGTATTGATACGAGATAAGTCACTCTATCGTTTCTGTTCATTTTTCATTAGTGACAGATGGTAATGCGCTTACAAGGGTATTAAAGCATTTTTCTTAAACAGTGTACGGACAATGACAGATTATGAATATTTTATTGAGTACAATACAGGGTGTTAATAAAAATGTGGGACCTTTCACAGGGTGGATTCTACAGTACACTCTTGGTAACTTTCCTCTCCCTACTCATTTTCACCAATACTCTTGCCCCTGTGCCGCCCCGTTAGCTATTTTTCCAGACGGTAATCTTTGCAGTGGGGGCATTTGTTAAGTTTCTGTACCCAGAAATTCTCTCTGAAATACTTCTGGTGCGATTGGTTATAACACTTAAACAATTGATTATGTAAGAGCTATAAAATGTGATTATGTAACAAAATAACAATTACAGCAACAACAACAATGATGGTAATACTAACAAGAGGAATAAAAAAATAATAACAACCACATTAAACACAACAAAATTGAGAATTATAAAAAGACTGAAGAAACGAATATGAGTTGACGGGAAAATCTAAGGATTTTATCATTGTTTATGTTGGAAAGATGGTAGAAATGTGTTTTAGTACAGGATACCATAGAACTGGGCCATAAGTATCAGCGACTAGACTAAATAAACCGCCATTAAGATTAATATTAACAGTACATGTACTTTTCCAAAGTTTTGCAAGTCCAATTTGCCATTAAAAGAAGCTAGAAAGTCTCTACTTTTCGTATATTTAACTCTTGTCGCGTGGATCGACGTGAGAGATATATTAAAACATTGACAAACCTTTACATAGTGCAAAAATTTCTAACAAGAATTTATTACTTGATTTGAAGTGTGATTTATAAAAATACAATATAGTTATTGATAATTTAAGGTCATTAAAACTAAAATATATACTTTGAGATGCTATATCCATCATTAACTTGAAATTTAAGCGTACCTTAATAAGCTTACAGGATATTTCTATATGTAGATGCCTGGAACGTGATCGATTAATTACTGCTTTATTGTCTGCCTTTAAAGCGTGGTTTGCTCAGTCTGTACACATTCAAAAAAAAGATTTAAGGTTTTATTGTGTAATATTCTTAATATATGGCTATTATAGACTACATTGAAACAATTAGTTTCTAGTTATTTGAGAATTAGTTTTATCCATATAGCATATGGGACTCGAACCACTTTGGCGCCGTGTTAGACGTATTTTTTAACGAATTAATAACTTGAAAACGAAGCCTCGAGTGCAATTCCGTCATTCGTGATTTTTGTCTTAATTGTACATGTAAAATCCATCCTGACAGTGGCCCACATTTTTATTAGTACCGTGTAGTATATCTTCGCAGTTAGGCATTAAACGCTGTCAGATGGAAACGAATGTAAACGTTGTTTCATGTTTAATGGTACTTGGAAAGTGATATACACCTGCCACATACGTATGACGGCGATTACTTACGAAAGATTACAGTATATACATATACATATACAGGGTGGGACAATAACTATGGCCACTTTGGATATTGCTGTTATTTGTAATAATATGAAAAAATGTTTTATACAAAACTTACACGGTATAGAGGGGGGCATATTGTGACACAAACATTTTCTGCGTGGGTGAAGGCATAGAGGAAATTTCAAGGTCCATCGATTAATTCGATAATCGTAATATCGATTCATTCAGAATAGTGCGGTCTGTATATTTGGTTAGAAAGTTCCTACATACATCTTTATTTAAGACATCTTTATTTAACAGCAACCATTGCTCGCGTTAAATTTACGTAAAATTAATTTTCTTAACTCGTTTGTAGCTGCTCAGAAGTATCCCTTCGGCACGTATTAGCTGCTTCTTCAACGTAATTTCTGTGTGTAGCAGTATTTATATGTTGCACTACTTGCGATTTTCTTTCGTATATTGTAGTTTTATTACAAGTTTGACAATATACACTTTTTTCATTACTCTCATTGATGATAAAATTGCAATCGCCTTCGATCCAATTGTTCATCAGTGCTATGCTACTACTCCGAGTTTTCAGCGTTATTAAAAACACTCTAATAGGATACAAATACTGTAGGATACAAGTACTGCAAAAAACATAATTATTGTCGAGCAATGTCGAGTATGTTTTTACATTCAATGTGTACTGAAGATTGTATTATTAACCCTGTCCAACCGCAGGATTCCATTTGGAATCGTTAACGTATTTAGCATTTATAGTTCATATCATGAACCTGAAGATTCAGTATGGCATCGTATTGTATAGTATAATTTTTTGCCGTTAGACGGAAAAGTTCTCGAAAATATCATTCGGGACCCGAATATGTTTCGAGACCCGAATACGTTACGAGATCCGATATCTGTCGGAATCCTGATGCGATTTATACAGTCGGGATCCGACTTGTCCCGACCCGACCCGAGTCTCGGGAATCCCGTGATTTCGGATACCCGCACAACCCTGCTCGATTACCCATCACTAGGTGCAACTCGAGTTCGCCGCGTAGAGCATCTTCGTCGAAGACAGTTTGCCGGCCAGAGCGGGGTTGGTTTTCACACCATAACGCCCTTATCAAGGCACTTATACCAAAAGCGTACCATCCAGTCGCTACTAGTACCTGGCCCAAATGCAGCGTTGATCTTCTTAGTTGTCTCCGCTGAAGAGGTGTTAAGCTGGTGCTCATACAACATAATAGCTCGCAGTTGACGTTGCTCCATTTTATACCCATTACGCGGAAGGTTTGAGCGTATACTCGCACATTCTGGAAACTTCTCAGGCCTGCTTCGATTTAAAGACGAAAATATCCAATAAACAACGATCCCGACAAGGACTTATCAGACAGCCGAATACTATATACAGAAATGTTGAAACAGCAAATATAATGATAATGAGTATAAAAAATATCATGAAATGACGCAAATTATCGTTGTGTTTCGTCTTTTGGTATATTGAATGGTATTATGAATAATTTTGAGATATTTCATGGGATCGACTGAAATCAAACAGCCTACATAGATAAGTTGCAGAAAAATGAAAATTTCGTAAAAAATGTTATTATTGTACGCGTATTCATTCAAATAATCTTGAGTGTTTACTATGAAGGTGTTCCAATACTTTTAATCTCAACTTTAATTGAATGATAAATTAGATAAGTTGGCCAGCAAGTTGCAATCACATTATTACACTACCTACATAGTACACAATGACATTGCAGTTTCCAGACTTGAAATAAGAGGGATACCTACGTGCTGCCGTGATGGGTGTGTAAACTCTTAAGTCATGATGCGAATTACTTGATTGTCAGTCGGTAATGGACCGCGAACAAGACTCAACGGAAGTGTGATTCGTGCATTTTCAGTGTCATCGAATTGTGCCTATTTTTCTGTTGCATTATTCTCTGGTATTTATTATATACTGTAAGTAAGTAATCTTCATATTATTTTCTTCAATCGTTCAAAATTTGGTATAGTATATTCTTAACCGTACTGATGATAGCTGAATATTTAACAGCCACTTTATGATAGTAAAGTACCAGTATGTCAGGTGCACTATTTGTATAATTGTATGGTTATCAGTGCAAATGTATCTATGTTCACTCAATAAATTTGTCGCCATTAATTATGAAAAACTAGAAAGCATAAAAAACTATAGTCCAAGGCAAAGATGATGTATAGATTGCGGATTTTATGCATTTATAGCCTATAGGTCTCTGTAAAATACAATGAAGGACAACATTTTTGTGAGATGCAACGAGTTTTCTATTTTCTTTGAGCCCAATAAGATACTTAAAGGAACAAAGAAATTCCTACTTTTGTTTTTGTCTTTATGAACAACCTTCTAAAATGTGATTTTACATAAAAATCCGCAGTCGAATGATGTACATTCTAAACTGTATTTATGACCATTGCATTGAGTTTCCGTCAATATTAGTGTACATACTGTTTGAAAATTTTGAATGCTGAATGAAGACATTGTACTAAATGATACTTTATTGAGTAGAGTATTATTAAAACAACTTCTAACAGCTTTATGCTGTCTAAAGGGATAGATAAAATCCAGATACAAAAACATTGGAAATACGATATTACTATACTTACAATTCGATGTGCGTTACGAAAAGTAACACGTTTCAATTTTGGTCTCGAAAAGTAGCATGTTTTTATTTACAGGGACGAAGAACAGCATGTTATGCTTTTTTGCAACGAAAACTAACACACTTATCACGGTAGTTTCATTTCTAGCTGCGAAAAACATCGCATTAGATAGGCTGTCTAGTACTTATGTCAACTGTTCGTAAGTTAAACTGTGCTAGTCTGCATAAAACACATGAGACGTGCTACTTTTCGTCGCAGTGTTCAAAATACGCTATTGTTTGTGTCGAACTGTGAAACGTGCTGGCTATCGTAGTGAATGTCCAACATGCTAGTTATCGGTGGAATCGATGCAACATGCGTCCATTCGTGATAAATTGAAATGTGCTAATCTTCATAAGACAAACGACACGTGCTACTTTTCGTAACGCAAGTCGAATCCCAAGCACTACGACGCGACATTCTTAATCATTTTATGAAATTAAACCCAAAATATATAATTTTAGTGTTTGTAGAGGACTTAAGGAAGTTTTCTCATTTTTTCTAATCGCTG